CACTGTGGGCGCGAGGGGATGCGAGAAAGCCAACTCGGCCATGCGACGCACATTTGTCGCGTGCTGCATCGTCGCGCCAGCGGCAGCGTCTGTGAACACCGCCAATGCATCATCCTCGCCCCCCACTGGGGGCACTAATGTTTTTTCCTGGGCCAATTCCCTGGGAGAGAGAAATCAGGACATCTTCGCGAACGCACGCGTTGGCGACGATGTGCGTGCACACTCCTCCCGCAACCGAATCTTCGACTTTACAAGGGCCCTCCGATGGATCCAAAATCTGGAGAGCGACATAATTTCTGCACGGGTGCTCCTTACGCCACTGCAGCACGCGGTTTGCAATCTGGTCTGCCTCCTCAAAGTCGAGGCCAGGACCCTCGGCGCCAGAGGCAGCCGCCCGCGAGTCCCGGGCACGCTTCTGCATGCTGCGACGCGCGCGGCGCGACGGGCGCCAAAGCCAGAGGCGTTGTTGAGCCGAAAAGGCTGCGATGGACGACCGCGATGGCGGCCTCGAAGATGAGGGCGGGCATGTGGGCGGGCACGGAGAAGCCTAGGTGAAGGCAAGGGCAGCGCGAGGCAGGGGTGAAGCTAAGCACGAAGACGTGATCGCGATTCAGCTCCAACTTGAGCGCGCGCCGCACGATCGCCATGGACAGAAGTTCCAGGTCTACCGGGAGAGGCCACGAAGCGAGTTGATCACAGAAATCCACCGCGCAGCCGAGAGCGCGATACATAGTTCCGCTTGACACGCCAGAGGCAGTGAGTGCTAAGTGCGGCACGCCTGCGAGGAACATGCACTGCGCGCGGCAGCGGGCGGGCTCCCAGCTCTGGGAGCCCCACCCCCGCACGAGAGACATGGTTTTGTGCTGCTCGCTGCGTGAGCTCCGAGAAAACCGCGCCTGCGCAATAAACGGCAAGAACCCCAGGATGCCACGGAGGCACCTGTCCCAAACGACCTGCCAGTTCAGATCCGGGCGCGGCTGCTGCAGAACCCCAACGCGCCAGCGCGGGTGCCGCAGAACCCCAACACGCCAGCGCGGGCGCTTAGCAGTAGGACCAGCAGGAGCACCAGCGGGACTGGCGATGCCAGAGACAGCCTGAGAATCTGCGGCGGCATCAAGCCCCGAGGAGCCAGCGGAAGGAGAACCACTGCGAGTGGCGGTGCCAGAGGAAGCCTCAGGACCTGCTGCGGCGGCATCAACTCCCGAGGAGCCACCAGAAGGACAACCAGCGGACGAGGCGGCGCCAGAGGCAGCCTGAGAATCTGCGGCGGCAGGAGGTCCCGAGGAACCACCCTGCTTCAAACTTACTCTCACACGCGCTGGAACCCCAGCAAAAAGATTACCCAAGTCACCAAAGACAGTGACAGGGGGTGCTGGCCCTGGCATCGCTTCACCTTGGATCCCTCCGCGATAGGGCCTCGCTCCTGGATCGGCCTACAGTGAGCGGATGGAACCAAGAACACCTACTTCTCAAGAAGGGGCTCGGTTGTTCATTGGGTTTGCATGCGTCGCTCATCGTTCCCAATGCATAATTTATCAGTTATCGTTCCTTACGCGCTACGCCTTGGAAACAAGTGGCTTCGTTCCATATTTCCCGTTCCTTAGGTCAGGCTGAAGGGGCCCTGGGACACACAAATCAATACGCGCAAATAACAAGATTCCCCGTACTTTCCCATATGATCTGGTCTGTCTATCTCCCCCCCCCCCCATTTCCCATATTTTCCCATGTTTTCCTGGGAGTCGACGATTGACTGCGTCTGTGTTTTTTCGGGAGCGGCCAAGAGGGGGGTGTCCAAGAGGGGGGGGTGCAAATCATGACCGGCGGCGCGTGCGCGGCCCAGCGGGTGCCCTGGGGCGAGATGGAACATGAAATCTGAGGAAATATCATGGCCCACGCCATGATATCCACCCCCCCCCTAGTCATCCCCCCCTCTTTCCCGCCCCTGTTTTTTTTCCCTCCTGACAAGCCGATCACTGCAACGGCGGAGAGTCCGGCCCGCACCTCGGCCCGACGGCCGGCGGCGGACGCCGCGCGACGCGGAGCGCCATGCGGGGGCTCGACTACACCTCTCCATCGGCAGCGCAACCCGCCAAGACGCTCCTGACCTCAAACTGGCCTGGTTGAATTGCCGATGGGGTCGGGGCCCGACCCTGAGTGAGGGCGAACCTTCACTCCTGGGTCAGTCTCCGCGATCTGAGGGGCGTTCTACGCCGGTCGGATGACGAGCCAGGCAAGACGCGCGTCGAACACGACGCGCCTAGGACAGCACCTCGCCACCAGCATCGCAACACTTCCTAAAGGCCGAGCCTAAACAGGATGTCGCAGTGCCGCTAGCAACGGAACCCGACCCCATGCGTCGGCTAGCCCACGCAGCTGGCTCAGTTTCCGCTCGACAGCTGAGCCGTCGCAGTCCGAGAAGGCCGCGGCGATGCAGAAGCGCGCCGCGCAGCGTAGCGAAGGCCTACCCCCAGCATCGCAACGGGTCCTCTGGCACCTGGCCACTGCTGGACTTCGTTGCATTGCCGAGGGCATCGCGCGGCGGAGCCCGATCCCGTGCGCAAGCGAAGCTACGCAACTAGGTCAGTACCCGCTGAGGACTGCAATCGCGAGAGCAGCCAGAGGCTGCGAGACAAGCAGGGCACAGGACGCGCCGCTTCATGTGGAAGGGCGCCACGCGCCAGACAGATGGGCGGGCGGGCGCAAAAGTGCGCGTCAGACGACGCGCAACGACGCACCTCGCCAACAGCATCGCGACACTCCCCTGAGGCCAGAGGCCTAAACAAGACTGTCGCAGCGCCGCTGGCAACGGAGCCCGACCCCATGTGTAAGTGGACCTACACACCTGGTTCAGCTTCCACTCGTCGTGGCAGGCCACGCACTAGCGCCGAGCTTGCTAAAATAGAAGGTTTCAGAAGGCAGAGAGAGGCGCACGCCGAAGGGACAGGACCGACAGCAACGCAACGTGTCTCTTGGCACCTGGCCTCTGCTGGGCGTAGTTGCATGGCCACTGGCCTCGGGCCCCGATCCCGTGCATCGGCGAGCCTGCGCGCATGGGTCAGCCCCCGCTTACGACGGCTGCGCGCGGCAGCAAGAGGCTGCGAGCGAGGCGGCACCGAGCGCAGCCATGCCGCTACAAACGCCTAGCCAGCAGCATCGCATCCTGTCCTTCGGCACCTGGCCTCCCAGGAGTGGTTGCATTGCCGCTGGGATCGGAGCCCGATTCCGTGAGTCGGCGAACCTAAAAACCTGGTTCAGCTTCCGCAACGACCTGCGCCAGCCGGAGCGCATGCACCGAGGCGGGGCCACGCGCGCGCGGCGGGCGAACGAGGGCTGCAGGAAGCGTCGCTGCGGGGGGTAGGTTGACGAGGGAGGGGGATGAGTTGGAGGAGCACACGAGGACGACGAGAGGAAAAAGACCACGATTGAGGGGGAGGGCGACACGGATGAGGAGAGGGGACAACAAGATAGGGGGGAGGGAGTGAGGGAGTGAAGGAGGGAGAGAGGGAGGGAGAGAGGGAGAGAGGGAGGGAGGGGGGGAGGGAGATGGGGTAGGGAGGGGAGGGAAGGGAGGGGATGAGAGAGGGAGGGCGGAAGGGAGGGAGGAATGGCGGGAGGGAGCGAAGGAAGGGGAGGGAGGGAAACAGGAATGACTGGAGGGAGCCGGGGAGGGAGGGAGGGAGGGAGGGGGGGAGGGAGGGAGGAGGAGGATATGGCACTGGAGGAGGGGAGGGGGAAAGGTGGAGGGGGGGGGAGGGGGGGGAGGCACTGGAACGGTGGCGGCACTGGGGGGGATGCTACTGGAGGTGGAGGAGGAGGGAGGAGATGAGGGGGGGAACATATGAGGATGCTGGAGGAGGAGGAGGAGGAGGAGGACGACGACGAGGACGAGGAGAAGACGCTGCACCATAAACACATACAGATGTGAGGGGAGATGTGGCATTTGCGGAAGACGAGGGAGAGGGGGGCAGCTAGCATGATGAGGGAGGAGCAAGAGTACCATGATGGGGCGGACGGCAAGGATGATGGGAGGGTCAGCAGCATTAGGAGGGGGCGACGGAGCAGGAGGAGGAGGAGGAGGGTGACGGGGAGCAGGAGGAGGAGGAAAGAGGAGAAAAAGGAGGAGGAGGAGGAGGAGGGATAGGGAAAGGGATGAGGAGGACGTTCTAGGATGGGGTGATGAGGAGGATGAGGGGGAGGATGATGATGAGGAGGAGGCGGAGGAGAGAGGGGAGAGGAGAGAGAAGACAGGAGGGAGGAGGAGGAGGAAGAGGAAGAGGAGGAGAAAGGAGAGAGGAGAGAAGAGGGAGGAGGAGGAGGAAGAGGAGGAGGTGGCAGAGGAGGAGGAGGGAGGGAGGGAGGGCAGGAGGATAATGAAGAGCAGGAGCAGGAGCAGGAGGATGAGTAGGTCGATTGCACCTATATTAAAATGTTTCAAACCCCTAGAGCAACACAAGCGTTTCAGTAGAATCCCCAGGCGCTCCCATCTGTCATAGGGATTCTAAACTTCGACATATGCAACAGTGGTGCTCTGTTGCACACTTTTACTGTGGTGCACGCAGGCGCCGTGGTGTACACAGGCGCTGTAGTGCACGCAGGCATTGTGGTGTACACGGTTGCTGTGTTGCACACGACTGGTGTGGTGTACGCATGCGCTGTGGTGTACAAAATCGCTGTGGTGCCCGCAGGCGCTGTGACACACACACACACACACACTGGCGCTGTGTTGTACGCGGCTGCTGTGTGGTGTACATGGGCGCTGTGATGTACACAGGCGCTGTGGTGCACGCAAGCACTGTGGTGTACACAGGCGCTGTGGTGCAGATCGCCACCTACATGGTGCTGCTACCCCACCTCGATCTTTCCTGACTACCTACCAAACCACGCCAACCCAACCCGAAGACCCGAATTTGACCAGAATTTCGGGTTGGGGGGGGGACGGGTTCCATGTGTTTTGTTCAATGTTCCCCGACCCCCTCCCATTGGAAATGGAAGGAAAATTGAAGCCTTCGGGTTGGGTTGGGGTCGTTTGGCGGGCGGTGAATTCCTAGGCATTCCCAGACGCCGCCGGCGAGAATCGCGACGTCACCGGCCCTCGAAAACCCACCCAACAATCTGGACACAGCCCGGAAGCGCAGGGCAGAGGAACGCCACGAAGAGGGAGTCAGGCGCAGTCATGTCTGCACGCAAAGGCACAGGCGGAGCTCCGCGCGAGCATCCGGATTCGAGTGGCTCACGGATCAAAAGAAGCAACAGGCAAGTGGGGAAGGCAGAGGTCGAGGACACAGTCCTCGACAGAGAGGAGGGAAAAGGAACGACATGCGCTCTGCAGGCGCGGCCACGTCACCGCATCAGCGACATCGGAGAGAACTCGCAGCGAGCGGACAACTCTAGGATGGGCTGGGGATCCGCCGCAAGACAATGCAAAACGCATGGCAAGTGGAAAATGGAAGAGGGGAGACATGCGTAGAGGAAGGAAGGATGAGGAGGATGCGGATGGGGGGCACTCGAAGGAGGCTGTAACGCAAGGCTATGGACAAAACCTTTGCTGCACGCGCGCCCACTTACAGCCCAGGACTCCCAAGAAAACCTGGGGGCCCTGGGGCGAAGGGGACTGTTCGGCAACGGGGACATTGAGTTCCCAAAACACAAACCAGGAATACACAAAATTTCGCACCATCGGCGCCACGGAACATTACGCACAGTTTTTTGTTGATATCGCAAGCTTATGAAGCTCACCTGAAGAAGTACCAGAGGACCATTCAGTCTTGAATTTCGGTGTCTGAATTCTTACATGTATGATTTCTTTCCGAAGCATCCCTCCTGCTCACCCTGACCTGCTCCGTCCACCGTCTGCAACGGAGACGGCCGAACGCGGTTCCACGGAGTCGAGGCGCGCACACGCTTGACATCGATTCAAACAAGCGGCAGCACGCTACGCCTAACTCGCGCGTGAAGCGCTGGCAACAAAATCTGGCACGCAACACAGCGCACCCGCTGGCTGGCCGTCCCCTGCCTACTCCACCGACCGACTGCTCCGGCTTCTTCTGCCACCATCCCTCCTGCTCACCCTCGACTCCTCCAATCACTATTGGTTGGCAAACTGCTGATCGCGGTGTCACGGAAAAAAGGCGCGCACACGCTTGCCATCGATTCAAACAAGCGGCAACACGCCAAGCTTGACGACCATTCGGACGACCTGGCAGCACATCGGAGGCACGAGAACTAGAGGGGCACAACATCGCAAGCTGTAATGCGTTATCCGACGACGCCGACGACGCCGACGACGACGACGCCGACGACCACGACGACGCCTACGACGACAACGCCGACAATGACGTCGACGCCGACGCCGACGCCGACGACGACGCCGACGCAGGCGTCAGCGCCGACGACGACGACGACGCGACGACGACGACGACGATGGCGACGACGACGACGCAGACGCCGCCGACGCCGCCGACGACGACGACGACAACAACGACGCCGACGACGACGACGCCGACGCCGACGCCGACGATGCCGACGATGCCGATACCGAGGCCGACGACGACGCCGATGCCGACGCCGACGCCGACGACGCCGACACGACGCCGTTGCCGACGCCGACGCCGACGCCGACGACGACGACAACGACGACGCCGTTGCGCAAGCCGACGCCGACGCCGACGCCGACAACGACGACGACGCCGACGACGACGACGCCGTTGCCGACGCCGACGCCGACAACGAAAAGGCCGACGCCGACGCCGACGCCGCCGCCGCGGACGCCGCCGCCGGAGCAGCCGCCGCCGACGACGACGAAAAGGCCGACGCCGACGACGCCGCTGACAACGACTCCGACGCCGACGACGACGACACGACGCCGCGATGACGGCGACGACGACGACGACGACGCCGACGCCGCCGACAACGACGACGACGACGACAACGACGACGCGACGCCGACGACGACGACGCCGACGCCGACGCCGACGACGCCGATGCCGACGATGCCGACACCGACGCCGACGACGACGCCGACGCCAACGCCGACGCCGACGAGACAGGCGCAAGGGGGGGACAGGCGCCTGAGGCAGAGAGAGGCTGGGCAATCATGGCCCCCAACTGGGACTCACCACGTGGCACTCACCACGTCGCATCCGTGAGTGCATCCCTCGAAGCCGTCGCGCGGCCGTCGCTCGGGCCAGCGACAGAATCTTTCGTCAAGGCGATGCTGCGGATGCACCGGTGGCTCTTGGTGGATGCCTGTTCGTGGTCGTCCGCTCCCAGGAGCCCCCCGACGGGAAGGCCAGCCTGCCCCAGGTGCTTGACGTGGATGTTCAGGTACTCGATGCCCTCCCACGACCAGCGGCAACAAGGCGCCCTCTGGTCCTCCTCCCCCTGGGCAGACCCGTCCAGCTCGGAGGCCCCTTCGGAAAAGGAGCGCCGAAGCCGGTGGATCCCACCGGGAGAATCAGGACCGCAGCTGGGCCCCTGTTGTGGCTCGCCTGCCTGCCGCGTGTGCCCCCAGACGACCTTGAGGCCCACGCCGCCGAAGTACATCCATTGGGTTGCGCTCCGCTGCTGGCCCGCCGATGCTGCGGCTGCGGAGAATTGGAGGCCGCCACCGCTCCTGCTGTAGGCGCTGCGCTCGGCGACGGCGTCGTTCACGGTCGCGTTGCTCTCGACCCAGTTGCCTGTCACGTTGACGGCGCGGAAGTCCGCCAGCCCCGCTTGTGCCGGGGACGCCAGGGTACGCGCGGCATGTGGCTGCGCCCCCAATCTTCCCGCCCCCCCCCACCCACCCCCAGGATCCCAACATCGCTTCAGAGGGCGGATGTACAGGGGGGGGCCGGGCGAAGGAAGGGCGACGAGTTTGCCAACGCTCACACCAACTGGGCCCCCCATAACGTCGTCCAAAGCCGTTCTGCGCGGCCTCAGCGACACCCAAACTGCCTTCCGAGGCGGCCCCTAACAGCGGCCCCAGAGGCCCCGACGACACCCCAACTAGACTTTGAGAGGACCCTTTGCGAGCGCCTCAAGACACAGGCAGCTGCACTTTCCCCAGGATTTCTCCTGAACTAGTGTTTGCACTGATGGGGTCTTGCTGGTTGTGCTCCGAGGGCTTCGATGGATTTGCAAACGACTCGCCAGATGCCACACGTTTCCGCCTGTGGGCGGTCACCGAGGATTCGCAACGCCGCCGCCCGTTGCCGCCCGTTACCGCCCGTGGGGATTTGTCAATGATTCGCCACATTGCCACCAGTTGCCGCCTGAGGCTTTTGCATATTCGATGCGCATGCCCAGGAAATGAGTTTCCGAGTCCGAGAAGAGCTGAGATGAGAATGCATGCGATGATGAAGAAGATGAAAATGATAATGATGGCGCGGGTGATGCCCCGCACACTACAGTCTACAACATTCAACGCATGTCTGGTAGTGTTCAACGTTGACAACGTTAGCACTGCAAAACACAACTGTCTGGGATTCACGATCACAACCATGAAACGAGTTGATGCTGCCGTCTCTAATGACTTATCCTGTGGCAACCGAAAGGCAGCCTGAAAAGGCCGCCAACTCCTGATGGCCTCAGATGCCCACAAAAAAGAAATGAAGACCAGGGATTCCCCTGACGGCCCAAGAAGAGGCCCGAAGAGGGGCACAAGAGGGGGAGCCTGAGAAATCTAGAGAGGTCTCCTCCAGATGATGCCCTGCAGGGGCCTCAACATTACCCAAGAAATTTTCCAACAAAAACCCAGAGGGCTTCGAAAAGGCCACCTACAGCGGGACCAAGGTTTTCCTAAACCAAACGGGTCTTCCCAAACCAAATGTTGCGGAATCAGACCGCCGGGTCTTCCCAAACCAAACCGGGTCTTCCCAAACCAAATGGGTCTACCCAAACCGACGCCCCCGGGTCTTCCCAAATCAACCGGACCTTCCCAAACCATCCTGCTGGGTCTTCCCAAACCAACCGGGTCTTCCCAAACCAACCGGGCCTTCCCAAACCAACTCCCTGGGTCTTCCCAAACCAAACGGGCCTCCTCAAACTAGCATTCTGGGTCTTCTACAACTGAGGGTGTTCTCAAATCCTTATAGAAGCCAGAGGGTAGGCCTACCCTAGGCCTACCCCTAGACCTACCCCCTGGGTTTACCCTAGGCCTATCCCTAGGCCTACCCCCTAGGCCGACCCTAGGCCTACCCCTAGGCCTACACTAGGCCTACCCCCTAGGCCTACCCTAGGCCTACCCCTAGGCCTACCCCCTAGGCCTATTCTAGGCCTACCCCTAGGCCTACACTAGGCTTACACCTAGGCCTACCCTAGGCCTACCCCTGGGTCTACCCCTTAGGCGTACCCTGCCTGCCCGACCCGACCGCTCGTTAGGGTCCGCCCGCCCGACCCGACCCGACCAGCCCGTTAGGGTCCACCCGACCCGACCCGACCCGACCCGCTAGGGTACTCGCGTGTCAACTCGATCATGTACCACACTTCAATGTCCCGCCCGCCCGACCCGACCCACCCGTTAGGGTCCGCGCGCCCGACCCGACCCGACACGCCCGTTAGGGTCCGCCCGCCCGACCCGACCCGACCCCACCCGACAGTTAGAGACCTCGCGATAATGTCCCGCCCGCCCGACCCGACCCGCCCGCCAAGGTCCGCCCGCCCGACCCGACCCGACCCAACCCGCCCGTTAGGGTTACCGCGAGTCAACTCGATTACGCACCACCACACTTTAATGTCCCGCCCGCCCGACCCGACCCGCCCGTTAAGGTCCGCCCGACCCGACCCGACCCGACCCGACCCGCCCGATAAGGTTTTCGCGTTCCCGCCTTTCTTTCGCCCTTGTCTCCGCTCTCGTTCTCGCCTTCGTTCTGGCTTTCGTTCCGCCTTGATTGCCACCTCGTTATCGCATTGGTCTCGTCTTCGTTTCGCTTTCGTTCGCGTTTTCGTTTTCGTTCTCGCCTTCCTTTCGGTTTCGTTCCGCTGTCGTTGCCGGCAGCATTCTCGATGTCGTTTACGCCTTCGCTTCCCTTTCGTTGCTCCGCGGGTGCATTCGCTTCCCGGGTCGCGCGGAACGTGGCAGATTACGCAGGAGCACGGCTGAGCACGCAGGCGCACGGCAGACCAAACAGATTCGCGGCCGACCAAGCAGAAGCACGGCTGACGATGCAGGGGCACGGCGGAGCAGACAGGAACACGGCTGATCACGACGGAACAGGGCAGAACACAAAGCAGCACGGCAGAGCACAGAGGACCACCGCAGACCACGCAGCAGCACGGCAGAGCATGCGGGAGCACGGCAGACCGCCGGAAGAACGGCAGACCGAACCAACCGGGTCTTCCCAAACCAAAAAGATTGTCCCAAACCAGCCGGGTCTTCCCGAACCACAACGGCCGGGTCTTGCCAAACCAACCGTGTCTTCCCAAACCAAACGTGCCCTCCCAAACCACCCTGGTCTTCCCAAACCACAGCGGCCGGGTCTTCCCAAACCAACCGGGCCTTCCCAAACCAAACGGGCCTTCCCAAACCACCCAAAACTTCCCAAACCACAACGGCCGGGTCTTCCCAAACCAACCGGGTCTTTCCAAACCGAACCGGCCTTTCAAAACCACTTGGGTTTTCCGAAACCACAACGGCCGGGTCTTCCCAAACATCAGGTCTTCCCAAACCAACCAGGTTTTCCCAAACCGAAGCCTGGGTCTTCCCAAACCGAATGTCTTCCCAAACCACGAGAGTAGGCCGGGTTTTCCCAAACCACCACGGGTCTTCCCAAACCAAACGGCCGGGTCTTCCCAAACCAACCGGGTCTTCCCAAACCACAATGGCCAGGTCTTCCCAAACCAACCAGGTCTTCCCAAACCACAACGGCCGGGTCTTCCCAAACCAACCGGGTCTTCCCATACCAACCGGCTCTTCCCAAACCGACGTCGTCTTCCCAAACCAACCGGGTCTTCCCAAACCACGAGGCCCGGGTCTTCCCAAACCAACCGGGTCTTCCCAAACCAACTGGGTCTTCCCAAACAAAACCGGGTCTTCCCAAACCAAGACCTGGGTCGCCCAAACCAAGGTTTGGTTTGGGAAGACCCGTTTGGTTTTGGAAAGACGCCCCTCCCCACCTATGGCCCTCGAAATGCTCCCTGGAGGCATCCCAAACACCAAGACGCCATCAAAAAAACACAGCAAAAGCCAATACGTTCGAAAACGCCTCGCTCTGGTCGCCGTCCTTCCTTAGTTTCTCGGCCCTTCTCCGTTCCTCATCTTCTGGGGTTCGGCGGAAGGGCGAACGCCTTCTGAATACATCTCCCCGCAAGCGGCCCCAAACTGCTCTACGCTCGCCTTGACGAGCAGCCTCGTGGCGTCAAGCGACGCGCCCCGTGGTACCTGGAGGGGCACATATGCGCCAGGCTGGTAGATGTCGAAATGCTCCCCGTAAATGTTGACCAAGTGTGGGTCGCCGGTACCCTGGACTGAAGACGGGGTCGGAGACGGAGTCGGATCAGCCGACCCCTCGCGACGGGGATCGCAAGGCGCGATCTGGACCACGCCAACGCGAGGCGGGATAGACCCCGGCAGGACAGGTAAGCCCACGCGACAGCTTGACGCGCACGCGTGAATATTGCGAGGGGGTACTGGAAAAGGCCTGAGAGTTTCACGGATGAGTGGCAGTAAGGAGTTGGAGCGCTAAGTTCGGGGATGTCTTCGTCCAGTTTTGGGGCAGCTCTCGAGTTTGTGCGCAGGAGGAAAAACGCGAAGCGTCATGAGCCTGATCGGACAAGGACGCGAAGCACCGCTTGTGTCAACTGGGCTGGTTAGATGCCGCCTGCGGTTCTGCTGCAATCTGCTGCGTTTGGCAACGTGCTGGCGCTGTTGAGCTTCTCCTGGGCCAACGACGGCATAACTGGGATGAGTTTACCCTGTCTCGGAGGCCTCGTGAGCCGCCTTGGGAACCTCTCGGCCAATCTTGAAACCCAGTTGGACCGTTCTGGGGGGCCCTCTTGGGCCATCTCGGGGCCCCTGTTGACACGTCTTGGTGCACTCCTGGGAGCGAGTCCAAGACGAGACTGGTTCGGAGCCCCTTCCGTCATCCATCTCATGGGGATGTCTCAATCGAAACGGCAATTTTCAAACCTGACTGGACAAGAACGGGAAGCGCCCATTTGTCAACGAAGCTTGTCAGAGACGCGGCCTCTTCGATGATGTCGCAGCGACCGAGAAAACGTAGACCGACAGCGCAGCACCACGGCAAACCATAACGACAGACCATGGTAGGACGGCAGACCAAACCAGACCACAAGTGCACCGCAACACAAGAACGGCGGACCACCGTAGCACGGCAGACCACAGCGGCAGCCCACAGGAGCACGACAAACCAACGCCACGGACCAGAGGAGCACGGCGACAGACCACAAAAGCACTTCCAAAACGACATAGAGGCGATGTTGCGAACAGGTCCAATGTGCGAGATTGTTCCTCGCAAAACTGCCGTGTTCACGTTCCGAAATGACGTCGAAACGTTCGCTTATGTTAGTCTGCCATGTTCCTGCAACTGAGCCCGAGGATATCTGCAGCCAGAGCGTCGCTGTTAACATGAGAGGCAGCACTGCAGCTCTCTCTCTCTCTCCATCTCTCTTTCGCTACATTTCATGTGCTTGAGAATGCCTCAAGCGAAACACTTATGTTCGAAGAGCCACTCCAGATGTACCCCTTACCGCAGTGAGGAGAAAGGCACGCATGCATCTCTCACCTCCTCCTCCTCCGCCTCCTCCTCCTCCTCCCATTCCTCCTTCCGTCCCTCCACCCTCCTCCTTCGTCCTGCCTCCCCCGTCTCTTCTTTCACATCCTCCTCCTCCACCGTCTTTCTCCGTCTTTCTCCTTCGTTCTCTCCCCTCCTCTTCTTCCACAACTTGCCCTGCTCCTCCTCCTCCTTTCTTCATGTACCGTTTTCCACTTCCCCGCCCCATGTCCCGATCCTTTGGCAGAGCCATCAACTCGTCGTCCTCGTCGTCGCACCCTCGTCACCGACATCGTCATCCTTCGAGAACGGCGGCAGTGGCCGTACTAGCACGGCCCTCTCGATCCGATGCCAACAATGGCAATGCAACTTCCTCCAACACGACCCCAAGAGAGCCCCTAGGCCTCTCAAGAGGCCCCCAAGAGACCCAGAAGAGGCCGGAATTATCTCCTTCGAAGCAGAGGCGCCAGGGACCGCCGAGTCCTCTGCTCCCCCGCTCGCCCTCGTCCAGTTCACCCTCCGTTCGCACCTCCAGGAGCACGACGGATTCCCCAACCCTCTGTTCCTCTGTGCACTTTCTCATTTCCATGATCAGGTTGAGTCGCCTGGGCATCGCTGCTGGACGGGATGGTGGGAGCACCTATTTGTCAGCAGCGCCATCGAGCGAGGGCGCGGGCGGGTCGATCGGGACGCGGCCGAGCGAATTGGCTGGGATGCAGGGAGAAGGACCGAAGGCGGACACGAGGAAAAACAGGAGAAGGAGAGAGAACCGACGCGAGACGAGTCTAGCGCGCCCGGCTACCGGCGTCAAGTGTCTGGTGGGGATTTTTTAATCAGCTGCCGCAAGCGAGAGCGCAAACGGCGAGTCGAGTAAGAGCAGGCCGCGCAAAGACGAGTTACCAAAAGCCGGCGGGGCCTCAGGCATCACCACGGCGGAAAAGTTTGGTGGGGATACGCGAAGCGTCAACAAGAAGTCCTATGTCCACGCAAGAGCGATCGTATGCCACAGAATCCCACCAGCCCTCCGGGCGTCGGTGGTTTAGGGCGTTTCCTCTTCCACCCCTCCCTTTTCCCCTTCGGGGAAGGGTTTACCCCTCCCCCTACCCCCTCCCCACTGACCTGGACAGGAGGGGCGGGGACGCCAGGGGACCGGGGCCACACCGAGCGAAGGGGGTGTTGTTTGTTAAAGAGGACACCAAATCGGGACAGAATCGTGTCAGGGGACCGGGGCCACACCCCACACCGGGCAGGGGCGGGGTGTTGTTTGATTATAAGAGGACGCCAGATCGGGACAGAATTGTGTCAGGGGGCCGGGGCCAGACCGGGGGGAAGAGAGGTGTTGTTTGTTAGAAAGGACATCAGATCGGGACAGAATTGTGTCGGGGAACCGGGGCCACACAGGGCATGGGGGTGTCGCTTGTTAAAGGGGACAGCAGATCGGGACATAATCGTGTCAGGGGAGCGGGGCCACACCGGGCACGGGGGGTGTCGTTTGCTAAAAGAGGACAACAGATCGGGACAGAATTGTGTCAGGGGACCGGGGCCACACCGGGCACGGGGGCGGGGTTATTGTTTGCTAAAAGAGGACAGCAGATCGGGACAGAATTGTGTCAGGGGGCCGGGGCCGCACCGGGCAGGGGCGGGGTTGTTGTTTGCTTAAGAGAATAGCAGATCGGGACACAATCGTGTCAGGGGACCGGGGCCACACCGGGCAGGGGGGTGTCTCTTGTTAAAGGAAACTGCAGATCGGGGCAGAATTGTGCCAGGGGACCGGGGCCACACCGAGCAGGGGAGGGTTGTTGTTTGTTACTGAAGACACCAGATCGGGACAGAATTGTGTCAGGGGACCGGGGCCCGACCGGGCAAGGGCGAGGTGTTGTTTGATTAAAAGAACACCAAATCGGGACAGAATTGCGTCAGGGGACCGGGGCCGCACCGAGCAGGGGGTGTGTTGTTTGTTAAAGAGGACTGCAGATCGGGACAGAATTGTATCAGGGGACCGGGGCCACACCAGGCAGGGGGGGTGTGGTTTGTTAGAGAGGACACCAGATCGGGACAGAATTGTGTCAGGGGACCGGGGCCACACCGGGCAGGGGGGGTGTTGTTTGCTAAAAACGGACAGCAGATCGGGACAGAATAGTGTCAGGGGACAGGGGCCACACCGGGCAGGGGGAAGGTGTTGTTAAAGAGGAACAGATCGGGTAATAATTGTGTCAGGGAGCCGGGGCCAGGCCGGGCAGGGGCGGGGTGTTGTTTGTTAAAGAGGGCGCCAGATCGGGGCAAAATTGTGCCAGGGGACCGGGGCCAAACCAGGCAGCGGGGAGGTGTTGTTTGATTATGAGAGGACAGCAAATCGGGACAGAATTGTGTCAGGGAGCCGGGGCCAGACCGGGCAGGGGGGGTGTCGTTTGTTAAGAAGGACAGCGGATCGGGACAGAATCGTGTCAGTGGACCGGGACCAGACTGGGCAGGGGGGTTGTTGTTTGCTTAAAGAGGACAGCAGATCGGGACAGAATTGTGTCACGGGACCGGGGCCACACCGGGCAGGGGCGGGTTGTTGTTTGCTAAAAACGGACAGCAGATCGGGACAGAATTGTGTCAGGGGACCGGGGCCACACCGGGCAGGGGCGGGGTTATTGTATGATTAATGGGATAGCAGATCGGGACAGAATTGTGTCAGGGGACCGGGGCCACACCGCGCAGGGGGGGTGTTGTTTGTTAAAGGGGACGCCAGATCGGGACAGAACTGTGTCAGGGGACCGGGGCCACACCGGGCAGGGGCGGGCTGTTGTTTGATTAAGGGGACACCAGATCGGGACAGAATTGTCAGGGGACCGGGGCCAGACCGGGCAAGGGAGGGGTGTTGTTTGTTAAAGAGGACTGCAGATCGGGACAGAATTGTGTCAGGGGACCGGGGCCACACCGGGCAGGGGCGGGGTGTTGTTTGTTAGAAAGGACAACAGATCGGAACATAATTGTGTCAGGGGACCGGGGCCACGCTGGGCAGGGGCGGGGTGTTGTTTGTTAAAGAGGATAGCAGATCGGGACAGAATTGAGTCAGGGAACCGGGGCCGCACCGACCAGGGGGGGGTTGTTTGCCAAAGAGGACAGCGGATCGGGACAGAATTGTGTCAGGGGACCGGGGCCACACCAGGCAGGGGAGGTGTTGTTACCTAACAGCTTGTTCTGATAGGTTTCTAGTGGGGTCAAAAGAGAGCAGCAGATGACTCCACAGCCCAGAGGGTCGCGGATCAACGGAAATGGATCCGGCAGTTTGCGTGGGTTGGGCATTAGCAAAACGACTCAACGAGGTCTGCCAAAGCAACCCAGCGGATCAACAACCAACCATCGCGGATCAATCTTAAGATCACGGTGTTGTATGATGATGAATGATAATGTTAAAAATCTCTACGAATCACAATATTAGGGTGAATGAACATAGTATGCATATGATGATAAACCACCACAGTTTGCAACTGTAGCTCAAATCAATTAGCGCCGCCCGTATGTATATCATGGCGAATCACCATGTTACGGTGAACCACCGAATTGTACATGCGATGACGAATCTCCATATTATACAAGTGGTGGTCGTTGCTCCCGCGCGTAGCGTAGCAAAATGACACAGCATGGCGTAGAATAGCGCATGCAGCTGGCGCTTGCAAATCTGCATCCCGCACATTGCTACGCCGTTAACATGCGCCCTCCATCCGCGTAGCCGCTGCAAAGTTTTTCAAACTATCACGAAGGCACTGCGGTGCGACACCGCGCGGCG